GATGTTCCCACTCCTCAAGACAACCACAATCAAACTCACACTCAAATGCCATCTTTTCATAAAGACATGTAACCTTTATTCATATCTCCAAGCCAACGTGAACTGCTACTGCCTCCAGAAACATTGTCAAATAGCCCTTATGGTCGCCATCCATTTTCCTTGTAAGCTTACTAGGGCAGGGTTTCTAACCCCACAGGTACTTGTACTCGCTATGTAATGTGATTCAGATAATACTAGTGCTACATGGATCAACAAAAAAATGGAACAATGTAACATGGACATTTTCTCAATATCCACATTTTGTACAGGGCTTATCATATATCCAAGTTCAACTCAACAAATACATTTTATTTCAATTCAAAATTGAGTCACACACGGAGAACAGCAAAAGAATTATTTTCTTTTTTTTCTGGTACAATCATTTTTATTGAGTCAAAAGAATTCTTATTTCAAAGAGGAGTGGTCAGCAATGGCAGTCCGCAAGTTTATTCAACACAGGGTACCTTTTAAATTAGCTGCCATTTTCTGTACTCTTTCTACAGCATTCTATTAGTGAACTAGTGTGCAAGTGTATGTAACTGAATATTCAAGATGAACCAGTGCTAAAGTCTGCATGTATGTGACCAAAGTACAGCTATTTTAAAATTAGGGGTATATTTATTTAAAGAGGGCAAATAGGTAGATTCCTGAATTATTGTGTTAGATAATCATTTGCTACAATGTGAAGCTCCAGCAAACAGAGAAGGTGAATGCCACCAATTTTAGACTGAAGTTCTTGGTTTTGCAGCATATGTAGATTTTGATGACTGGATGAGTAAAAAAATCTAGCGATGCACCGATATATCGGCTGACGAAAATTATTAGCCGAAAGTAGGTTTATCAGAGATTTGCCAATAGGGAAAATGGCCAAAAAGATTAGCTTACCTCAGTCTTATTACAGCCAGTGCCATGCCGTAATACGCAGCCTCTGTGGACACTACTCTGTCTCTGCTGCCATTACTCTATAGCCCGACTATTTATGTGTGACTCCATCATGACCTCCACCCACAGGACCCTTCCCCAATCACTTAAAAGGACTGCCAAAGTGAGTGCTGGAGGTAGAGATAATTTGAGTACATATAAGTTAATTTTGTATAAAGTTAGTCACCCCCCCCCCTTTTTTTTTTTTTTTTTTTTTTATTTTATTTTATAGCTGGGGTTTAGTTTAAAATTGATTAGTCCTTTTTTTTTCCCCTCAGATTTTACTACTACTCTAGCTGTTAATGTTATCATATAAGTTAATCAATTAAAAAGTCAAAGATAATATAATTTATATATATTTTATATATATAGTTCATCCTGAACTTTCAATTTTGGTCCAGAATTTTAATTTCAGTGCACCACTAATAAAAACTGGTTGGATGGACTAATGAATGTGAGCAGTAATTGTGCTTTATAAATGTAGTGAATCTTTAGACAGGAATTCAGTGGCAAAAAAAAAAAAAAAAAAACATAAAATGATCAGCAAATTGATTGTCTGCCACTTTATAAATGTGCCCTGAAATATCCCTCTAAACTTAAAGGCTATAGATTTCAACTGTATCGTGTTACTAAATACTGTATGATGATATACAGTCAGGTCCATAAATATTGGGACATCGACACAATTCTAACATTTTTGGCTCTATACACCACCACAATGGAGTTGAAGTGAAATGATGTGCTTTAACTGCAGACTGTCAGCTTTAATTTGAGGGTATTTACATTCAAATCAGGTGAATGGTGTAGGAATTACAACAGTTTGCATATGTGCCTCCCACTTGTTAAGGGACCAAAAGTAATGGGACGGAATAATTATAAATCAAACTTTCACTTTTTAATACTTGATTGCAAATCCTTTGCAGTCAATTACAGCCTGAAGTTTGGAACGCATAGACATCACCAGACGCTGGGTTTCATCCCTGGTGATGCTCTGCCAGGCCTCTACTGCAACTGTCTTCAGTTCCTGCTTGTTCTTGGGGCATTTTCCCTTCAGTTTTGTCTTCAGCAAGTGAAATGCATGCTCAATCGGATTCAGGTCAGGTGATTGACTTGGCCATTGCATAACATTCCACTTCTTTCCCTTAAAAAACTCTTTGGTTGCTTTTGCAGAATGCTTTGGGTCATTGTCCATCTGTACTGTGAAGCGGCGTCCAATGAGTTGTGAAGCATTTGGCTGAATATGAGCAGATAATATTGCCCGAAACACTTCAGAATTCATCCTGCTGCTTTTGTCAGCAGTCACATCATCAATAAATACAAGAGAACCAGTTCCATTGGCAGCCATACATGCCCACGCCATGACACTACCACCACCATGCTTCACTGATGAGGTGGTATGCTTAGGATCATGAGCAGTTCCTTTCCTTCTCCATACTCTTCTCTTCCCATCACTCTGGTACAAGTTGATCTTGGTCTCATCTGTCCATAGGATGTTGTTCCAGAACTGTGAAGGCTTTTTTAGATGTCGTTTGGCAAACTCTAATCTGGCCTTCCTGTTTTTGAGGCTCACCAATGGTTTACATCTTGTGGTGAACCCTCTGTATTCACTCTGGTGAAGTCTTCTCTTGGTTGTTGACTTTGACACACATACACCTACCTCCTGGAGAGTGTTCTTGAGCTGGCCAACTGTTGTGAAGGGTGTTTTCTTCACCAGGGAAAGAATTCTTCGGTCATCCACCACAATTGTTTTCGTGGTCTTCCGGGTCTTTTGGTGTTGCTTAGCTCACTGGTACGTTCCTTCTTTTTAAGAATGTTCCAAACAGTTGTTTTGGCCACGCCTAATGTTTTTGCTATCTCTCTGATGGGTTTGTTTTTTCAGCCTAATGATGGCTTGCTTCACTGATAGTGACAGCTCTTTGGATCTCATTTTGAGAGTTGACAGCAACAGATTCCAAATGCAAATAGCACACTTGAAATGAACTCTGGACCTTTTATCTGTTCATTGTAATTGGAATAATGAGAGAATCACACACACTGGCCATGGAACAGCTGAGAAGCCAATTGTCCTATTACTTTTGGTCCCTTAACAAGTGGGAGGCACATATGTAAACTGTTGTAATTCCTACACCATTCACCTGATTTGGATGTAAATACCCTCAAATTAAAGCTGGCAGTGTGCAGTTAAAGCACATCTTGTTCGTTTCATTTAAAATCCATTGTGGTGGTGTATAGAGCCAAAAATGTTAGAATTGTATCTATGTCCCAATATTTATGGACCTGACTGTAGACAATTTAGCAGGGACTGGCCAAGATTCAATCCATATATGGCCAGGATGATTGTACCAAAGTCGATCCATTGTCGACTTGGGTACAACGACCAGCATGTCAGATTACAGCCAACAGTTCTAGTCACTAGCAATACTCAGTGTTCTCCTAGCAGTTATCTCCGCCACCCCCCCCCCCAACCAGGAGAACACAAAAGCTCTGTAGGAGGGATTCCCCCATCAACACTGACTGTGTTGATGGGGGAATTGAGCGATTTTCATTCCTGCAACCCATAGTTTGCAGAAAGAAAATCACATCTAGGGCCTGCCTCAGACAGTTTTCAAAATGGAAGATTTCCTTGACCCCCTGCTTGGGTACAAAGAAACAACAAACTGTTCTAAACAAAGGGGAGATTAATGCCCAATTTACTTTTGAGCTGCTTTTAGATGGGTTTTTTTTAGCATTTGTAAGATACATTTTCACATGCACTTCAGGCTTGAACATTTTAACCAATGGAATGCTAGTTGCTAGGCAAGAAAATGCAAAAAAAAAAAAAAAAAATTACATGGAATTTTGCAAGTGGTTAGGAAACACAGATGGGTGACTCACCCCAAAGGAACATAGACCACAATTAAAATTTGTCTAGGGTTCTAATGATCTTCTATTTTAGACACTTTAACCCTTTCACTGCTAATGACATGTACCACACTTCACAGCATTGAAAGGTTTAAATCAAGCTCACAGCAATAACTGATATGAGCTTGTTTAATATTTATTGTGCAGACTCTGGGCTGTAAAGTAGAAGCAGTCATGTTGGATATAAAGCCACCGATCACTTTTACAGGTGGTGGCAGTATGGGAGAAACCCCTCTGCAATAATGGTGTTTTACTCACACTGGTGTCTGTGCAGTGTACAATGGACTGCAGGAACATACAACAGCATCTTCCTTAATTTGGATGAAAACAGGTGTCCAGCACATGGTGTGGTGTGTGTTACATTATCCACCTAAAAATGAGAAGGATTGTAAAAGGGGAGCTTGGACTAGTGACTTAAATGCAGTGTGGCCTGGACTGCAAACACGTGACCACACAGCATCTGGTTCATTGTCAAGTACGGTTTTCATTTAGGCAATGACTGCTTCGTGCTATTAGCTTAGATAGGTAAAATGTCTGCAAAATGACAATTACTATAGCAGTGATTACCTTCCTCCATTTTAAAGCAGAAAACCTCAGATAAATGTTAAAATCAAAGTAGAATATTTGTACAGCCGGCAGGAAATGTATAAAAAATAGATTGCTGCATACTGGCTTTTTTCTGTAAGCTTTACTTATTGCATTTCTCAGTCTGTAGGTTGGGTCCTAAAACCAATAAATCTGTAAGTTTGAGATTTTAGGTCAGTGCTTATTCAGCAAAGATGATTGTTCCAGTTGTCTAAGGCCTCATTCACACTGGCATTGTCTAACCTGTCTTTAGAGGACATTTCTTAATGCCTGTAATGATTTTTAATGCCATTCACATTGTGCATTTACCTGCATTTAAGTGCCATTAGTTTAGCAGTGCTTAGTGAAAATAGAATTCTGTGCATCCAGGATCCAATAAGACACTCAATGCATGTAAATACTTATGCCTTTCTAAATGCAGGAGAAGTGACCTGAGAAGTATAAACAACTTTTATGTCTCCCAGAATAATCTTTCCTACGTTTTCAGATGTTCCTATTTCAAAGGTAGTTTTGTCACATTTACATACACCATATTGCCAAACGTATTGGGCCACCCCTCCAAATCATTGGATTCAGGTGTTCCAATCATCTCCATGGCCAAATAAAATCAAGCACCTAGGCATGTAGACTGCTTCTACAAACATTTGTGAAAGAATGGGTTGCTCTCAGGAGCTCCATGAATTCAAGCGTGGTACTATGATAGGTAGCCACCAGTACAACAAGTACATCTGTGAAATTTCCTTGCTACTAAATATTCCACGATCAACTGTTACTGGTATTATAACAAAGAAGAAGCAACTGGGAAGAACAGTAACTATGCCACAAAGTGGTAGTGAGCAGAAGTCAATAGCTAAAGACCTCCAAACTCCATGTGTGCCAAGTGTAAAGTTTGGTGGAGTGGGGGTTATGTTTCAGGGGTTGGGCTTGGCCCCCTTTGCTCCAGTGAAGGGAACTCTTAAGGCATCAGCATACCAAGACATTTTGGACAATTTCATACTCCCAACTTTGCGGGAACAGTTTGGGGATGGCCCCTTCCTGTTCCAACATGACTGCGCACCAGTGCACAAAGCAAGGTCCATAAAGACATGGATGAGCGGGTTTGGGGTGGAGGAACTTGACTGGCCTGCACAGAGTCCTGACCTCAACCCCATAGAGCACCTTTGGGATGAATTAGAGTGGAGACTGTGAGCCAGGCCTTCTCATTCGACAGCACTGCCTGACCTCACAAATGCGCTTCTGGAAGAATGGTCAAACATTCCCATAGACATACTCCTAAACCTTGTGGACAGCCTTCCCAAAAGAGATGAAGCTGTTATAAGCTGCAAAGGGTGTGCCAACTTAATTAATGAACCCTACGGACTAAGACCAGGGATGCCATTAAAGTTCATGTGCGTGTAAAGGCAGGCGTCCCAATACTTTTGGCAATATAGCGTATGTTTTGAGTGTCTAATCAGATCCTGGACCCAATTTATTTTCTCTTGAGCACAGCTAACTAAATATAGGTAAAATGCACAATGTGAATGACACCATTGAAATATCATTACATGCATTTATATGGGTACAGAAATGTCTTCTAAAGCCTCTGCACACAGGGCTGTTTAGCTGCAATTGTGGGATGCATTGCTCTTAGATGAGCCCCCATGTGCAAGGGGCCTAAACACTTATAAATGCAGGTTTGACAGTGCTGGTGTGAATAAGACCTTAATGAGATATATATCTATATATCTATAAATCTATAAATCTATAAAAAAGTTCACATCTGAAATGAAAGTTACATACAAAATGTACTGACATGTAAACACTAAAATAAGTTATACATGGTATTTGTCAAAGAAATCATATGGAGCAGTTGACTAAACAGAAAGATTTACATATTTCAACTTTAACTGTTGATGTGTAAAGGTAATACAAAACTTGTTCTGGATGCATCCATTTTCAATAATCATCTGCCATGTGCAGGGAGTGAGAAATGTCAAGAGCACAAACATTTAAAATGATTTTTCTGATACAGAAATATTTAAAGGGGATCAGGTGTAAAGGCTAGAGCTCAGTGTAAATATGCTCTTTCATAGCCATCTCCTTTCAGAGGAAACTACACAGGAGGAGACCATTGCACCATTCAGTGCAATTTAGCAAAGTGGCAAAACAGAACAATAAATTATGTTCTCGGGTAGAACAGTTCAGATATATTTCTTGTTCAATTGTGTTTATTGAAAATTTTACAATACAAAGACAGCAGGGTAACCCCCACAAAATATATGCTTGCATATCAAGGTATGCAGAGGAGCGCTAGATGTCATTTCGCAGATATTTTTATTTTAATTGTGTATTCAGCTGTTTGGCTGCACTTCCTCTTTACTGGAGTAACAGAATAGGATGCAGACAAACCAACCATGAGCTGAGGCCAAGTGGAAAACAGGATTGTAATGAAAACTGCTCTTCTAGTCTGGAATTTGTCCCTGGCAGAGAAAGAAGGAACCTTAAAGGTCACTTTCTGTAAATGAGTAAACTAGAAATGAAGAAGAAATGCATACAAACATGAAGGCAATATTTTACAAGGATAAAACCAAATGTGTAGAGATCAGCATATAATATACAAATAATCATTAGGCTAAGGATCACATTTCATCTACATTTCAGTCTGGCTTATGTCAATCCTCTAATAAGAAAAAAATAAACAAATAAAAACAACAAAAACAAACAACCCCCCATTCCAAAAAATGGCCTTTAATGATCTGAAAGAGCAAAACCTGCAGATTTCATCATTTAAAAAACAGTTGCAGTGCGCACAGGCATTGCAGAGGGCTGCAAGATTATGTGTTAAAGAGGCACTGTCATCTCACTCAAATGGCAAGGAGACACCTCCAACCCCTTAATCTCACCTTGCTTGCGCTTCCTCCCACTCCTTCCCACATCACAGCTGGCATGGAAAGCAATGAACAGTGTGAGCATCACATCACTTGTTTGATCCAAATAACAGCATTCTGACCTTGAGATTGACTGCTAGGCTCAAGAACTGTCACAAGGAGGCAGGTCACATGCTCACGCATACCCAGGGAGTGTTTTTTAAAGTGATTTCTCAATAAAATAAAGCATGGTGGGTGAGTTTGCTCTAGATATTACAAAAAAAAATTAAATAGTGTTTTCAGTTTTTGGTGCACAGTTGCAGTTTAGTTCCACTTTAAAATGGTATTAAACCCAAAACCAAAAATGTAATATATTCCGGCTTACCAATCCTTAGATGTGGCAGCTGCATTATTTTTTTTTTTTTAGGCTTTTTCCCTCGGTTTTCACCTGGTAATCTGGTTTGTAACACACCAACTGTATTTTTTTATCAGGTAATTTTTTATTAACCAGAGTTTTACGAAGAAGAGTAAAAAATACAAAAATTACAGTTTATCTAGACAGGTATGCTGGACAGGTACATAGCACCGTTTCTACCATATCATGCAATACATATGAGACACTCAGCAGTCAGAGAAAGGGAGAGCTTAACCACAGACAATATCTAATAGGGCTATATCAGAAGTACTAAGGTTACCTTACTAACTTCACTCTCTACCCCTATTTTATGTTGACTCAGCACATAACATTAGTTCTACCTTTACTGGCAACTAACCACCTTGTTTGTTCTGAGAACCAGAGATGCGGGGAGGGGTTATTGCAATCCAGCCACCAGGACCATATTTTATTAGATTTTTTCAGGCATCCCGAGTTTATAAGTAAGTTCCTCTCTACATAGTCTGTCTGTCTGTGTTTTAGGGGGTTAAGGTTATGGGTTAACTTTTAGTAATTTATTTATGATTATTTTAATACTTGTGTACTTTACATTTATTATCACCCTTAGGGCTTGTTCACACTTGATTTTATTTCTAACTCTTGCCAAATGCCCCTATAGCGTTTGACAGGCGTTTGTGAAGCATTTTTAACGCTCCTCAAACACTCCCAAAACGCCCTATGCGTGGTTTTGAGGAGGTTGATAGGCTTTTGCCAAGCGTTAAAACTGTGCCACAAACGCCTATAATGAAGATAAATGGTACTAACGCTCCGCAAACGCCTGCCAGACGTTTGCGGAGCTGCACCATAGACTTGAATGGGAGGCTTCAACACCTCCTGACTGGACACAAGGCGTCATTTCTGCCATGACGCTAACGCTTCAGTGTGAACAGCACTGTGTGCTGCCATGTGCAGAATTTTCATAGGCTTTTGAGAAGCGTTAAGAATGCTTCCCAAACACCTGTCTGACGCCTGCTGACAAAGCTAGTGTGAACGTAACCTTACCCTAACAAAAAATAAACAAATAAATAGAAAAAAAAAAAAGAATAAAATACTATAAATAAATAATAATAATAAATAAAATGCTAACCCCAACCCAAACCCTAACCCTAACTCTAACCCCTTACCCTAACAGAAAACAAAATAATATTGAATAATAAACTAAAAGCTGATGAAAAAAACTAAAAAAAAACCCCCAGAAAAACCTAGCAACAAATGATGCAATAGATGATATTTTTTCTCTATAGGCTAATAAACTGGCAAAGCTCAAATGGCTAAAAACGCTGGGAAAAAAATCACAGTAAAATATGCGTGAAAATCACGCTGAAAAACACTACGCTCAGATGTGAACAGAGCTTCAATGCTAGCACTCAACAAATGGAGCAATTTGCTGTTAGAACAGGACAAATCCTTTGGGAGCCCTCCTATAATATAAAGGTCACTATGCTGGTTGCAGAAATTCTGCCAGCTATTCTATACTTGAGAAGCAGACAAATATCTGGAGGATTCCCTCCCCATATTCCATTCCAGAACTCTTACAAGGCCTTTCTGCAATCTCAGTAACAGTAATATTTTATTTGCCTTTTGTATTTTAGACTTGAATGTGATCTCCTGCCTGTTCGCCAACCCAGAAACGGAGTGATCTAATGTGCATACTCCAAGCTGTGACTAAGCAGTGTCTTCAATTCAAGTGATCTGCGTGTATGTACTTTAAAGGCAGCAGCAGGCACACTAGGAAAAGATCTGACAGACTATATTCTTGTCTAGACAGTGCTACAAACATTCATGCTTAAACCCTACGATGTTTAATATATGTACAGCAATGACTAAAACTGCTGTTATTTCTCATTAAATATATAAACCCAAATGGTTAAATATTGTATAAGCATAGGTTGTCATTTAATGTAATGTTTAATCAGGCTGTCTGTGCTCTGACTTGTGCATTGGACCAGCTATTATGTGCACTCTGCGATGCACTTGGAGATCCATACAGGTCTGTGCAGCCAGACCTCTCACTGAACAGACTGCCTGCATAGAGCTGCATGGAACACGTCTTCAGAACACAACCAGTAGCACAGCTGTATGAATCTGCAATATATTCATTTATTTATTACAGGTATTGACATTTATGCAGTGCTTTACATATATATATATTGTACATTAACATCAATGCCTGCCCTCAAGGAGCTTACAATCTAAGGCCCCTAGATTGTTTATATCGCTTTAAAGTGTTACTAAACCCAGAACCCTGCATTCACTATATCTGATCTCCCACAGTACATGGAAATGCAATTATTTTGGTAAAAACAAAAAGGCTAAAAATCTTTTAACATCAGAAGTTAGAGCAGTCTTTTGACTTCTATCAGTGTCCAGCCAAGCACTGGTTAAAGCTTGGAGTTTTCATTCTCCCCTGATTGTCCTATGAGGCTGCATAACCCCTGACCCTCTGAACAGCGCTCATTAACCCTGTACTGATCATATGCACTCTCCCAAGAAAAAAGAAAACTCTCTAGCCATACACCAAACTGAGCATGTGCAGCTTGCCC